GCAGGAATAAAAGAGTTTCATCTCTTAAAATTTATCACAATTGTTATCAATTAATTCACTTAAGTATGATCAAAATGTCAAAAAGATCATGTAAAAGACAGAATGGGCCAGGCCTCATTTGCATTGCCTTTCTCCTTGTTCCCTAACGGACACTAGCAGAAAGTTCTCTCTGAGCTGGACTTTCTGCCGTGCTACAACTACTAAACAGCTCTGGACTATTCTTCCTAGTCATCAATGTGATGCAATATTAAGTTCCCCAATCTTTAGGGCAACTGGCTGGGCTGGGTTTCCTGATGCTTTTCAGATAAAGATACCCCACTGTTTGCGAGAGAAATTGCAAGCATTCCTCGTGATTAATTGAGTAGAGCACACTGTCTGCTGCATAACTTATCATGCCTTCGCACAGCAAATGGATTGCTGGAGGCCCCTGTGCAAACACTTAAAAGGATATTAAAAAATAAAGGCAGAACTATGCTAAATTGACCTGCAAATTAGAGATCTCACCCCCACCCAACAACAGAGGAAAACCCTCTGAAGCTAGTTCTAAACCATCTCTTAAAAATTAAATTTCACTCACTCAAAAGAAACTTAACGGAGAGCTGAATTAAAAACAGAGTTAAGGACTCTGAAAGTGTGGACCCCAGTAATGCATGCTCAGAGCAGAAGGTATCAGTATAGCACCACAAGGGGTAGAAGCAGGAGAAATGGTATCATCAGAAAGGTATTAGTCCAATGACTTAACTGGTAAAGTCAAAGAAAAATAATACTGAAACACACCAAGCAGCTATTATTTCCAAAAGGGTTTCCAAAACAGAAACTTACTGAAGTTGAAATCTCAAGATAGGAAATGAATTCACCAGAAAATAAACAAACTGAAAAAAAAATTATTTTATCAGACAGAAGAATTTAGTAATAACATTATGTTAGACAATGAATGTAATATAGAAAAGAACCAGAGAAGAGGTGCCAAGTACCTACCCTAGGATGTTCTTTGGATCTAATGTAGTAATTCTTACAAGAATTAAACAAATAGCACAAAACTGTGCATTTTCTTTATTTTTTTAATTACAGGCAAATAGCTTAGTGTATATAATTGTAAAGAGATGCTCTTACATCTTCTCTGCACTGTATCTTTAAAATAGAAAGGCACTCTGTAGTGATGGTTGTCGATTTGTGCTTTAGTTGCGTCTTTCATGGAGACTTCATATTTGTTCTTTGTTGTTTTTCATGATCTGGACTAAAAATCATCTGAGGATAAAAATACCTGTTCTGCGCTTTGGGTGAAATCCTTCCCTGTGCACAGGGTTAACACACAGCCTCATGAACTATTAAAGCCCATTTGAGCCTGTAGGTGGTAGCTAGACCTTGTGGAAGTTCTTTGCACTGGGAATTCCCCTCTTGGTACAAGGGAACACTGTCTACAACAAACAAAGTCCTGACAATACTGCTGAAGGAAATAAGTCTCCCTGAGTCTCTTGCACACTCTGTGAACATACCGGTAACAGCTTTATTGCCATAAAGTATTTGCAGTAACAGAGGAGGTATTTAGTTCACTTGTACCAAGGTTACCAAGAAGCTGAGCTTCCACAACCCCCACTGAAGCTAACAAGCGTAGAAACCATTTAGCACCCCAGAGGATCCAGCCCAAAGTTGTGCATCTGCAAGTGTGCATTTTTGGTGCCTACTATGTCAGGCTTATATTTCAGCTTCATTTGTATTATATGCAAGTCTTAGTTAAACACCGGTGACCTCACTGGAAGCAGCTGCCAAACCTTGCTCTTGGAGGAGATCAGAGGAGAGAAAAAACCCAGGAATCTGAAGTCATCAGCAGTGGGATGAGCTTATTCTATTCAGGGCTGAGCAGTCAAACAGAAGTTGGAATCATTTGTACAACAGGACCCTGGCTGTTCACTGAGTCTCTCTGACTTTTACCTGTTTGGAGGTGCATTTCCCAGAAAGGTATGTGCTTCTGCTTCTTTTTAAAGATTAAAATATTGGATTATTTAAATTCAGCACAGTGTTTCTGCCTTAATCACATTTCTGAATTTTTTAATATGCTCCCATTTCAGTTAAAAGGAGACTGTGCTCCTTGAGGGATACGGAGAAAAAAAAAAAACCTACTTGTTGCTGTTGTTTCAAAGTTTGTTTCAGTGCTAGCTATAGCAGTTCAGAAGCAGGTTTTGTTTTTTTTAACCAGCGAATGAGATTTTCAGCTCAGAATATCCCTCCCGAGAGTAGACAATGTGCCACTGGCAAAATAAGTGACCATCCACCAAATGGTGTTTCAAAGGGCAGCAAATGGGATTATCCAGGGGGGTCATTTGTACAAGCAGCATGTACAGTTCTGCCACAAATACAAAGGGCAGTAAACTATGTTCAGCAAGAAATAGCCTGGAGAGTGAACTCTCTCCACTGCCCTCCACTGTGTGTCTAAGCATGTCCTGTTTTCTCTGAAATCATCGGTTTGATTGTAAGCTTTACGGGGCAGGGACCATGTGTGTGCGCGGGCGCATATGTATTGGACTGCTGAGCTTTATTCTGTGGGCTAAAGGTAAATGTGAAAATGGAAAGTGTGCGCCATGTACAACAAAATTCACAAGTTTATCTTGAAATACCATGATCAATGTTCCTGTTACTTTCATATTTCTGGTTTGATATAGTCAAAAAAGTAGTTTCAGTCAGCTCTATCCTCCAGGCATTCATTGTTTTTGAAAATGCCATCCTGACTGCCCTTTTTGACTTGGCCAAACTCTGTAAATGAAAGGATAGACAAGACTACAGCTGCTAGCAGGCCAAGCAGCCTCTGAGCTGTGGAGGACCCCAGTCCTTCCCTCCATGGCAGCAACACCCTCCCGCCCCAGGGCCACCTGGGCAGGCTGCCAGCGGACAGGGTGCTGCCCCAGCTCCAAGGCAGAACCCAGCCAAATCCAACTATTTCCCAAGCCCGTCCAGGGAGCAGCACCCAGGTCTCCAGGCTCAGGGAACAGTTAGATCAGGCCGGGTGCTGCCTCTGAACTGAGATAGCACCTGGCTGGCTAGCAGCCCGCCCTGGTGGCCCCCAAGGGTGCTGCTGCTGTGGAGGGAAGGACTGAGGCCCTCTGCAGCTCAGAGGCCGCTCAACCCACCGGCAGCTCACCCCCCCCTCCCCCCCCACCAGGTGCAGGCAGGCTTCAAAAAAAAAAGGTCAAAAGGATCAGGCCCCTCGTCATAACAGTGACTGAACCCCCTAAATTGAAATGGTGGGTTTCAATTAAAAACCCACTGCTTCAATTTAGGAAGCACAAAATGCAACCCTAAGGATTAAACCCCCATCACATGTACAAACACTCAAAATGGCCACCTGATGCAACTTAGTTCACCCAAGGTGCAGATCTTACACTCAGACCTGGTCTCAGTGATCACAAATCAATCTAGACTCTTAACTGTACAGAAGTTCCTCAGACACAGACCAGCCTAAAAATTGCAGAACCCGATCTAAGATGAACCTGGATCATTATAGTATCAGATTTACTCAATTTAGGTTAGACCAGGGCATGAAATTTCTGTACAGTTACCTACGCAGCCCCAGGACTGGGAAAGCCCAGCCACTGGCTGCATGCCCCAGGGCTGTGCTTTTCACACCTATCCCCCTGGCACAGGGCTATTCTTAGCACCCTAACACCTGCCCCCCAACTCCTCACCCCTCAGCAAGTACCATAGGGGGAGAGGCAGAAGGGATGGGCCTTTAGGTTCACCAAGTAGGGGTCGGGGGCTAAGAATAGCCCCCCAGTCACTCCAACCCCTCCGAGAGACCATGCAAGCCCGCCTGATCCTGCCAGACCCTCCTGGATGCCTGCACCTCTCCATGAACACTGCCTGCCCCCCTGCCCCCATTCCCCTGCGGATCCTGCCTGCATCCCCAACGTCACCAATCACTCCCACAGATGCAGCCTGCCCCCACAATTATCTCCCCCTGGGCCTGCCTACTCCCCGCCACATGCCCCAACCTCCCTCCCACTACCCCCCATCCCAACTTACCTTAGATCGGGTAGCCATTTTGAACCTAACCTAACCTCCCTCTAACCTCCCTCCCCACCCCCCCCAAAAGTCTGTATTTAGCCGGTGGGTAACTAAATAAAAACAACGCTTATAAAAAGGCAGGCTGGGTCTTTTTGTGATGGAAAATATAGCTTAAAATCCTTACAATTTTCCATCTTTGAGAAACCTTTGCAAACAGATTTTTACTTAGCTACCTCCTGACAGATGTAGCTAGATAACTATCACTGGCCCCTCTCGATGGAATGGACACAGAAAACTAATTTCAGCCTAAGTTTATCATGTGCTGTAGGCAACAGAAGTTGTGGTACCCTTTGATCTGGGCACAGGGATATACAAATAATTTATCACAGGATAAAAGGAGGCAGGGATGGATTACACACCGGCTGCTCCTTGGTAAACCCACATGCACACTCACACATTGGGGAGTGGAAGCCAAAACCTCACAGCTTAGTCCTCAAGGCGAGGAGAGGAAGCTACTGCAGCACAGAAGCTGGCAGAGGAAGAAATGACTCTTGGACTTGGTGTTGGGGAGAGGAGACAAAAAAAATATTTGCCACTACTGGCCAGCCATGCGGCTCCCACAGAGAGCTGCCCTGTGGTGCCTCCTCTTGAGTACACCTCTTGCCACCAGCTGAGCTGCAGCCATTTACAAAACACAATCAAGATTTGGCACTGGCTCTGTTTACTAGAAATAGCTCATGAAAAAGCCTCTATTTGCTCACAGTTACAGCATAACACAATGCTTCTGCCAGCTTATCGCAGCCTTGGTTTCCAGAAATGCCACCCCCAGATTGCAGAATTTGCACAGGCTGTTTTAACATCAACAAAGCAGCATCAGAAGTGCTATGATGCTGGGAGAAAAGCCTGGATAATACGTTTCAGGAATATGCGCTGTGGGACCGTCACTATTTATCACCACAGGTAAACTTTATTGTGGGACAAGGAAGGAATACAATACAGCTTGGAAAGGACTGGTCTCAGCTAAACCTCTCAGACTAGATGCAGGAATTATTGAGTGAAATGTAATCACCTGTGTGACTGATGCAAGAGATCAGATAAGAAGATCGTATCTTCAGATCTCCAGATCTCGGGTTTTGGAGGGAGAAGCTCATGTTTTTAGCACTGAAGGTTTTCGATTCAAAATAAAAACAACGCTTATAAAAAGGCAGGCTGGGTCTTTTTGTGATGGAAAATATAGCTTAAAATCCTTACAATTTTCCATCTTTGAGAAACCTTTGCAAACAGATTTTTACTTAGCTACCTCCTGACAGATGTAGCTAGATAACTATCACTGGCCCCTCTCGATGGAATGGACACAGAAAACTAATTTCAGCCTAAGTTTATCATGTGCTGTAGGCAACAGAAGTTGTGGTACCCTTTGATCTGGGCACAGGGATATACAAATAATTTATCACAGGATAAAAGGAGGCAGGGATGGATTACACACCGGCTGCTCCTTGGTAAACCCACATGCACACTCACACATTGGGGAGTGGAAGCCAAAACCTCACAGCTTAGTCCTCAAGGCGAGGAGAGGAAGCTACTGCAGCACAGAAGCTGGCAGAGGAAGAAATGACTCTTGGACTTGGTGTTGGGGAGAGGAGACAAAAAAAATATTTGCCACTACTGGCCAGCCATGCGGCTCCCACAGAGAGCTGCCCTGTGGTGCCTCCTCTTGAGTACACCTCTTGCCACCAGCTGAGCTGCAGCCATTTACAAAACACAATCAAGATTTGGCACTGGCTCTGTTTACTAGAAATAGCTCATGAAAAAGCCTCTATTTGCTCACAGTTACAGCATAACACAATGCTTCTGCCAGCTTATCGCAGCCTTGGTTTCCAGAAATGCCACCCCCAGATTGCAGAATTTGCACAGGCTGTTTTAACATCAACAAAGCAGCATCAGAAGTGCTATGATGCTGGGAGAAAAGCCTGGATAATACGTTTCAGGAATATGCGCTGTGGGACCGTCACTATTTATCACCACAGGTAAACTTTATTGTGGGACAAGGAAGGAATACAATACAGCTTGGAAAGGACTGGTCTCAGCTAAACCTCTCAGACTAGATGCAGGAATTATTGAGTGAAATGTAATCACCTGTGTGACTGATGCAAGAGATCAGATAAGAAGATCGTATCTTCAGATCTCCAGATCTCGGGTTTTGGAGGGAGAAGCTCATGTTTTTAGCACTGAAGGTTTTCGATTCAAATCTGTATGGTGGCCACCCCCTGATCCTCCCAGGGGGCTTTTTCATTCCTTTCCATTCTGGGGGACACTGCATTGCACAGGCTCCCTTCATCCTTGTTATGTCCTGACAGGTTTGATCCTTGCTACCTTCTGCTTTCTCCTGTTAAGGGAAACATTGAACTCCTTCTGGGGGGGAAACAACGCACAGGGCTGAAGAAGGAAAATGACAGAAATGCCCTCTCTGTGGAAAAAATGCAACAGTGACACATTTTTTGTCATCTAGACAAAAGATTAATTATACGGTCATTTGCCTGGTCACACAATCATTACTGTAGAGGAGTCAGAAGGGCACATATCTGCCTCCTGTGTTCAAGCAATCCTGTGAAGTGCCAATAGCTTCTCTACTGCTTTTTTTCTGCTTGGTAAAAAAAGATCATCATAAAATTCTGATGTCTTTATCTATTAAGATCATGACTATTTTGTGCCTTTATGTCCTAGCCATTATTTGGGAATGATTTTTTATATTCTGAATAAGTCAGAACATCCAGCTCATACATCACGAAAAATTTACTCTCTCTTTGCTTGTCCCCATCCGCTGACTGATAGACAAACAGGAGGAATTCCACTTGTAGACTCAGTTTGTTTGGGGCACGATACAATACAGGGGAGAAGCTTGGGTTTGTTTGTTTTCAACTGAGCTGGGAAGATCCTAGCTAACCTTTCACAAACACAAA